CGTTTGGCCTCTTCTTGTTAGGTTATAAATTTTTGGGTGATTACAAGTAGCTTTTGGTCTGTCTTATGATCTTACGCTATTTATATGAGCTTTGGTAGTTTTTACTTTCATCGGTTAGAGCCTTTGTTCGGCTTGTAATGGATTGATGCTCGTAGTTATCGGAATGTAATGATGTAACCCTCTCTTTTATTTATTCTAATTCAGACAAAAAAAAAACTTTATTAGGCAGATAAAAGACCTAAATTCTCGATTGCAATCGCCACGCGGTCAAAACTTTCTTAACAAAAAAATGAAGAACCAGGGCGGATTCTCAACAAAAGAATAAGATGAGTCTGGATCATCACTCACCAATATGGCAACAAGATGTTGACTGGATTTTGTGGTTATTACATCTTCACTATGAAAGACAAAAACGCTTTTTACAGTGCTAGTATGTTTTTTCGTCAGATTTAGTGTCAGTGATCAAAAAAGAAAATACAAGTAAAACCACCTGTGAACTTGAATAAATCCACAAACATGTCAAAAGTACATGAAACCCTTGTTACTTAAACCATCTTCATAGTGAAATCATATCTCTGCAGAACCAATACGGTAAAAGAGACGCAAACATGTCTTGCACCGCCACCACTTCGATTGCTCTCTCTACACAACACCTTCACAATTCACACTAAATAGGTCACAGAGACATAAAACATTTATAGACCAAATGAAACCCAGAAACACGCACTATTGAAAATTCCAATCTCACTCTAATTAACAATGAATCGATTATTATAAACCCTAAAATCCAAAAATTGAATATTATGCAAAAGGAATGATCGAAACCATAACAAGTCCAAATTCAAAAGGGTATCAAATGGGAAGAATAAAAACGGTATCCTGGTACCGAATCATTCAGAGTCGTCCTTTTTGGGTTTGCGATAGTTCTCCTCGATGTGTTTGGCAACGACGACGCTGGTATTGGTGAGCTTCCGAATGTTGGGAACGTTATAGTTCTGTGCCAAGTAAACGCCAAAAGTCGTACCAACCATGAACGAGAAGCAGCTCCGGATTATCCCCATCCGATCTGATCTCTCTGCAAGTTTTCCAAGTCAACAGAAAACTAAGAAATCGCAGGGCTTTATTTGTAAAGTGCGACGCCGTTTTAGTCTTGACTCAGGTTCCTTTAAAACTAAAGGAAGCCGCCTTTACGACCTTGAAATTGCTTTAATACAAAACAAAGATTCGTCATTGACATCTTGAAATTGCTTTATCATTTTTTATTTTACATTTCAATTCATCCGTTCCAGTCACATTTCAGCAATCAAATAATCTTTGTTTTTACTTATGGTCTCAACTTGACATACATTTTTTTTTTTGAAAACTTGATTACGACTGTCTTGTAATTTTGTTGGACTTTTAGGTTACAAAAAATAAAGATGAAAAAGGCTTTCCAAATAATCAGAGTGGGCCTAAAAATAAATTACTAATAAAGTAATGAGCTAAAGCCCGCAACTACAATGGCCAGGGGAAAATAGCCGTATAAAACCATCCGCCGCAGATTTGACCTATGCACCATGGATAGGAACAACAAAATCAAAACATTTACTCAAACACAAAAGTAGACAAATAAAACAACCTAAAGATAGGCTCAGAGTTTTGCATAATGTACTCAAAGAAAGAGTCTTCTCATATTGAGAGGTGTAGAATTTAAGCAATTATCATCCTTGCCAAAGATTAAATACTTTCAAAAAATCATTAGCAATTTAATAAAATCATTGGCAATGTGATAAACTCATGATCGTCAAGAGATCATCAAGCCATCAAAGGGTGTATCAAATTAGAAAGAAATAACTTTGATAAATTGAAGTGTGAAGACGGTATAGAATTAAACAGTAATCATCCTTGCCAAAGATCAAGTACTTTCAAAATCATTACCAATCTAACAAAATCATTAGCAATGTGATAATCAAATAATCGTTAATTGAGTAACATAATATCAAAGGGTATATCAAATTAGAATCGGGCAATGTCTATTACAGGTAATGAAAAAGCAACAATAATTTTAATTTCCATTTACAAAACTACGAAACTCATGTTAAATTGAAGTGTGGATTATAACAAACATCGACGGACACTAAGATATTGCAGAATGGGAAATTACAGCTCTAAATTGAAAGTTATGAATAATCCGATTTAAGTTACAAAATGTAAAAGACTCTTTTGTATAATGAATGATCTGGCTATAAACTCACAGCCATCAAAAGATTATAAAAAGGGAAAAAACCATCAGGAACCAAAAGTTATCCTCAGAAGTTAGAATCGGTCAATGTCGAAAAAGCAAGAACAACTATAATTTCCCTTCACAAAACTACGAAACTCTGTTAAATTGAAAAGGGTACAAAACCATCAGGAACCAAAAGTTATCCTCAGAAGCAATTAAGCGATACGGTCCGCATCAAGGTCAAGTCAATAAATGACCATCATTTGGTTATACTAACCCTTTCATTAACCAAAAATTCAAACAAAATAAGGCTCAGATTAATATGGGTAGAGTTGATAATCAGCACAAAAAAATCAGAGTGGTGCATGACATACTCGTTCCTCACTGCCTTCTAAATCTAATCAAAACGCTATATACAAGCAATAGCCTCAGAATTGCAGAAGTGGTCATCAATAAATCAGTCCCGAAAGATGGTGTTCTTTATATACTGATCTCCTCATCGGCTTATCAAAAACCCTAATTCTATAAGAAATTGAAATTTCAAAACCAAAGAATTGAAAAAAAAAAAAGCAGGAATGTAGATCTCATGGCCGGTCCCAAACGGTAAAAGCAGCGACGCCGCTCCGCAAGGCAATGGAATATGAGATTCTTCAGGCTACCTTAAGACGGAGAATCCCTTAATTGGGATCCATCGACGTCTCTCGGTATAACCTTTTTCTTTTTCTTTGTGACGTTTACTTTGTGGATTATGCAATCACTGATTTAAAGATTGCTCCAGCTTTCTAAGTAATAGATTTCTTGGAGAGAAATCTCGTCACTTTAACAAGATCGAAAACACATAAACAAAAGATACAAAAAGGAGAAGATTCTGATCTAGAGAATAGAGGAAGAAGAAGCGATGAGGAAGAACAAGTTTCGTGGTGTGTAATATATACCACAAGAGAGATTAGGGCATCGGAAGCCCTAGAGAATCACACCGCCTTAATATCATTAATGGGCCTTTTTGTTCGTTAATGTAATAAAGCCCAACTATAGCCCAATACATATTTTTCTTATTTTAAGATTGTTCTTGGCCCATCTGACCGGACAAGCCTTAAATATTTATGAGTGTGTTCTATTCAAATTGTGTTTTATGGAGGAATTTTATGCAATTGTGCAAAAGCCATCCTTAAACTCAAGTAAAATCCAACTAGTACATGTAATCTAATGGTTTGTGGTATTTTATTATTGTGTTATCATTTATGTTCAAACTTGCATTATTAAAATGGGACACCAAACCAAAAATAAATCTCCCTCGACATAGATATACGAACCATCAAAAAAAATATTCAAAACAAAGATGTGTAAGATTCTTTGTCTCACATTTCAAATGGTTGTTAAATTTCCCTCCTCTTCACGTTGGTATACAAGATGAGAAATGATATCATCGTAATAACAAACTTGGCCGTCTCAAATTATATGTCGGTCATGTCCAATTTTTCATTAATTGTATATTTAGTATGGTAAAATAGTTTGAAATAAAAAGACCGTAATTTATATTATATTGTTAAGAAAAAATTCATATTTCTTGACAAAAAAAAAATTAACTAGGGGTCATGTTTGACTGTTCTACTCGCACATACTAAAAGACGGTCTTGGTAACAAAGAAGTAAGATGATAAACAATTTTTTTTTTTTTTTTGAGAAAGAAGACGATAAAAAGTTTGTTGCATATGTTTCCATTTCCTCTAAAAGAAATTCGAGAGAGAGCCATTGACATTGATTGAGTACTAAGACGACGTGCATATAAAAGCTCGTAGCCAGATGAGGAAGGTTGATGGAACATCATTAGCCCTACTTTCTTTTAGGACTGGGCAAAAAATCCGTAATATCCGATTTGATTCGCTATTCGCTTCGATCCGTTCCGAAGAATCTGGATGTCCGTAAAATTTCAAAACAAGGCAAATACCAAATTTAAGTATCCGTAGAAAACAAAGCAAGTCGCAAATATCATTTTAGAAAAACCGAATATCCGATCCGATCCGTTAAATATATCTTATTATATAAAAGACAATGCGCGCGATAAGAGCTTGACACGTCGGCAAAATTCTTAAGCACTAGATCGTGACATGTGTAATTGTTAATTTAGATTGTGACATGTGTCAATATT